CACCATTTCTGCTCCCAGGGAAACCAGCCCACAGCCCTGCCCTCTGCCCACAGCAGGCGGCTGCAGCAAGTGCTCTGGGAACCTGCTTGATCAGCCTGGTGTCCAAATCTACCTTGTCATCACTGGTGACAAAGCCCCGTCTCCTCAGCAACTTCAGGACATCCTTACGTTTATGGTAGTCCCGCAGGTGGGGGTCATGCAGGCAGTTGTAGTCTATAGTGAGGTGGTGGCTGTAGGGATCATCCAGGGTGAAATAAGGAAATGGCTGGTGAAGCTGTAAGAGAGATTTTCCAGAGTACAAAGGAGGCAGAAGAGAGTAGCAAAGAGATGCCACTTGGTACTTGTGAAAAGGTGCCAGAAACCAGTGCAGAGAACTGACAAGTCCTTTTTCTCCGGGTTCCAGGGAGCTTGGATCTTCCCTCCACTGCCCAGCCCTGTCCGACTGAAGGGCTGCAGCTCCTGCTGCAGAGCAGATGGCCACAGGAACTTGATGGGGACTCCACCAAAGAGGAGAGCTGATCTACCTCTTTCTACTTGCTTTACCTTTTCCCCCACCTTTCCCCTGCAGAAGACAGGCTTGGTTCCAGGCTTCACAGGGATCTTGACCCCAATTGGGAGGTTCAGCAGGTCAGAATCCATTTCAGTGGTATCCCCTTTTCACAGGGGATATTCTGAGGCTGAGCTGGGAAAACACAGACACCCAGGCAGACCTGCCAGAGGGACGGGCTGTTGGGAAAACTGTGGGTCCACAGAGAGGAGGGCCCCCACAGCAGCACAGCTTTTCTTTCCACCTCAGGATGTGGGTGGGTTTGTGACAGGCCTTTTGAAATCCTGTTCGAGGATGGTGCTGCCCTCCCTGCTATGTCCCCTTATTACACCCTTTTTCCCACTATATCCCAATACACTCAGCAGTGCCTCTGCCTTTTGGCAGGACACCAGCAATGAGATAGTGCTCCACGGGTCCTTCCAAGAGCTCTTGTGGTGCTGTGATCCTGCACTAGCTCCTTGTGCTCCAGAGGAACAATAGCTGGTGTCCCAGTGAGTGGCTTAACTGGCCCATGGGGCATTGTGAGATCATAGTGATGTCACATCACTGCATTGTCACACCACTGTGATGACATCCTGTCACACAGAAAGTGTCCACCAAACCCGTGGGTGGGGACCCCCTGGAGGCCCCTGTGGGCCTCCCATTATGTGTGACCCAGCTGAGAGAGCTCATGTCCCCAGGCCCCTGCTCTGTTCTGCCAGTCTGGGAGGCAAAGCAGGTGTCCTCACCAAAGGAAGAAATGCAAGGAACTGCCACGCCAAAGATGCCTGGTTGGGTTTCACTTTGCCTTTTCTTTTTTTAGACCTTCTTCCCTGTCATGGCCAAGCAGCTGCAACTCAGGCAATTGCACCAAACTGGATATTTGGCCCATCCCTGTCAACATCTAATTCCTGATTCACATCTTGAGAAACAGAAGAGAAACAGAGGCTGAGGGAAATCCCTGCCCTCCCCTTTACTCAGGCTCCCCCTCAGCCCAGACACCTCTCTGCTGCCTTCCTAGTCTCCCCTGCCCTCGTTTCTGCTGCTCTCACTTCCTACCCCTTTTTGGCTGGATTTGGTGATTTGCTCGTCAAACAAAGGCAAGAGACAGGCACAGCAATCTGTTGGCTGTGCAACAATCACCACAGGTGTCTTGAGAAACAGCGAGAGGCACAGCCCAGGGATGGTGCTCCTCTCCTTCCAAAGCAGTTTCTGGCACATGCTCCAGCTGCAGCTCTTCTCCTGTTCAGCAAGTGGAGGAGCAGCACCAGCTGCGCCCCAAATTCCCTCTGCTGTGCTGAGCGCTCAGCCACAAGGGCCACATCTACACCCTCAGGCAGTGCTAAGGGAGCTCCATCAGCTCAAGTATGTGCTCCCGGGAGGGCAAGTGTGTGCAGTTGCAGCTGGAAAGCACAGATGTTGAGGAATACATTTGGTGAGGGAGCTCGGGGTGCAGCTGCAGCAGGAGCTGCAGGTTGAGCTTTGGGTGGCAGGACCTCGAGGCACGGGGACCTGTGGCACGGCGAGGGAATCGGACACTCAGAGATGGGGCAGGAACTGGAGACTCGGGAGGGAGAGCTAAGACTTTGTGTGCTTGGACTGTGAAAGCCCCAGGGGTTCAAGGTCCGTGCTCAGAGACACCAGCTCAAGCTGTTTCTGTTCCTGTGCTGTGAATAAATGGCTTTGTGGAACGAGACATCTGAGTGTCTGCTATGGGAAACCTGGGGTTGAACTGGTATGGAAACGTGGTCTGACTGTGTGAGTTGGGGGGCGTGGGGAGTCAAGCAGGGACCCTTGGGCTCGCTGGAGCCCCTGTGACGAGGCTTTGGTTCCAGCAGTGACAGTCTCGGGTGGTGGAAGTGTGACTGCCAGAGGGCCTCCTGCACGCAGGGAAGTTTCCTTACCAAGAGGGATGGCTGGGAGCTGGAGAAGCCCCCAGGCCCTGCATTCCCTCCCTGCGTGCTGACCGTGTGGGCAGGGAACAGGAGGAAACTCTGGTTTGGCCAGGCAGGAGGGAAGGACTCCTGGAGCCTCGGAAAGAGGGGGGCTGGCTGTGCAGGGGTGGGGGCGAGTCCTGCCGATCCTGAAGGGCTGGAAATGTCCTGGGAAACAGGTCTGGAGAGAGTGGGGGAGATCGAGGCTTAGCTTGATCTGCCGCCCACTGCCTCTGATCCACAGCAGTTCAGATGGAAAGGCCTTCCAGAGGTTGGAGCCAATAAATTCCTGCACATGTCCCTCATTCCCCGTGTCGCAGGGCTCAGTGCCCCTCCAGCCTCTCTGCTGCAGGCGCCCAGCAGCCGGCATTCCTTCCTCTCCGCTCACGAAGATCAAACACCAAAGAACAGCTTTCCTTAAGAAAATTTTTATGTCTTCCCCGTTTTCCCACACGCCGGCCGGGCACGGCCGGTCGGGCAACCCCGGGCAACCCCGGCCGTCGGGCAACCCCGGTCCGGGGAAGGAAGCGGCAGATCCCACCGCCCGCCTTCCCTTTCCCCTTCCCCTTCCCCTTCCGGGCAGCCGCGCAGCCGCAGCCGCGGCGCCGGGGGCCGGAGCGCTGCCGAGCCCGGCCGAGCGCCGCCGGTGCCGCCCCGGGTTCCAGCCCCGCCGGGGTCGCCCCGGGCCCCGCCGGGGTGGCTGCGGGGCCGCCGCGGGGCCATGGCGCGCTGGGCGCGGCGGGCGCTGGGCTCGCTGCTCCCGCTGCTGTGCGCGCTGCTCCGCGCCGCCGCCGACACCAGCACCGGCCGGGTACGTGCGGGAGCGGGGCCGGGCGGGGGTGCCCCGGGGGTGCGCAGGGAAGCCGGGAGGGCAGCGGCTCCGTGCCCGGACGCTGGTGCCCGCCGGGAGCCTTCCAGCATCTCCCGCCGGGCCGGGCTGCGCTCGGGGGTGCGGGCGCGGCTCCTCCGGCCGCGCTCGGCGGGTCGGGGAGCGGCCGGACAAGCAGCCGTGCCCCTCCTGGGTGAGCCTGAGCCTCGGTGTCCGCCGGGAGCTTCCCGAGGTGTCTGAGCCGTGTGGTGGGTGCCCCGTTCCCGCTGCCGCCTCCGAGTGCGGCGGGCAGGGAAGGGGATGTCAGAGGGGAGCCCCCGCGGAGCTGTTTTGGTCGCTGCCCAAGGGCAGCTAATTTTGGTCAGACCGAAGTGTTGCGGCGTGTTATGTTTGTCAGAGGCCGAGGCAGAGGTAGCAGATGTCCGGTCTAGGAGCAGTTTTGTCCCTCGGCTTTGTCTTGAGCCCTTGGTAGTGTCCGTGTTGAATAGCGCTGTGTGTCCATTTGCTCGGTGAACTTTGCCATGCCCAGCCCAGGGGCTGTGGCTCCGCTTCCCTTCCCCACCTGGAGCACAGCACCCAGCTCTGGGGCCCCAGCACGAGAAAGGTGGGCACCTGCTGGAGCGAGTCCAGAGGAGGCCACGGAGATGCTCCAAGGGCTGGAGCTCCTCTGCTCTGGAGACAGACTGGGAGAGCTGGGGGTGGTCACTTGGAGAAGAGAAGGCTCCAGGGAGACCCGAGAGCCCCTTCCAGTGCCTAAAGGGGCTCCAGGAGAGCTGGAGAGGGACTTGGGATAAGGGGTGGAGATACAGGACAAGGGGGAATGGCTTTAAGCTGAAAAGAGAATAGGTTTAGCTTGGATATTAGGAAGAAATTCTTCCCTGTAAGGGTGGGGAGGCCCTGGCACAGGTTGCCCAGAGAAGCTGTGGCTGCCCCATCCCTGGAAGTGTCCAAGGCCAGGTTGGATGGGGCTTCCACTAGCCTGGGCTAGTGGAAGGTGTCCCTGCCCATGGCAGGGGGTGGCACTGGATGGGCTTTAAGGTCCCTGCCAACCCATTCTGTGATTTTCTCCTGCTTTGGAAGCAAGGCTGTTTTGTTCTCCCACTTGTGCTCTTCCTGACCTGAGCCCCCTTCCCGCTGCTGTGTTACACTGAGGGAAGACAAGGCTCTCCTCTCACCCCTGCTCTGAGTGATCAGGCTGCCAGTGGGAGAGCAGTGCATGCAGGTGATTCATCAGCATTCGTGTGGTGAGAACTGTCCTGTGGGTCAGATGGATTGTCCTCGTGGCTGGAAAAAGCTTAGGGGATGTATGTTGGTCTCATAATAATCCCGGTCCAAGTATTGAATTGAAGGGCTGGGGTATTGGCTAGAAGACAAAAGCACTGTGGGGGGTCCTTGAAAAGTTATGGTGAAAAGTTTCTGAGAACAAGTTTTTGTTTGAGTTTGAATGGCATTTGCACCTAATGGTGAACTAATATTCTGTTTTCTGCTACCATCCAAGTGAGGGAGGGGAAGAAAGGGGAGGGAAGAAAAATCCTGAAGCATGTTTTTGAAAATGCTGTGCTTAGCATTTTGACAAGTTTGACACAGGGTTTTATCTAAGGCTGCATTTTAGGGGGGAGGCAGGGAAAAGGGACAAAACTCCTTGAGGAGAGGTGGCTGTTTTCCTGTTCTGACAGTTTGCTGGTATCACCTATTGGTAGAGGAAACACCCATCGAACCAGAATCTCTGCAAACTTTGTGTAGGTTTTTTGTTGTTGAGTTTTCTCTGTGTGGGTTTTTTTTTTTGCTGTTGTTTTATTTTGGTTTTGGAGGTTTTTGTTCTTGTTGTTTGTTGGATTTTTTTTTAAGAATAATTCCTGTGCTCATTGCAAGTTGAACTTTTGTTTCCAGGGATTGCCCAGGCTGTTAAACTGTTTTCTTGGAATGATGGTCCACAGATAGGAGGGGTCGTGGGCAGTGGGTTCTTGGGATCTTGCTTCTGTGGGGACTGAGAAATCTCAAGCTGGCAAGGGGTCAGGGTGCACAGGAAGTCCCTGGAACCAGAACAGAACTTCTTGGGCATTTCTGGTGCTCCAAAGTCTTAAGTCTGCCCCAGTTACTCAATAGGGATGATGACCATTTTTAACTGGCAGGTCTGCCTTGCCCTACCAGGACAGGTGATATTAAACTGGATCTTCAACCCTTCATAGGGATCAGATGATATTACCAGACCTAACCAAAAAAAGAGAGATGGCTGAATTTTTTTGGCTAGTTTGTCACTTTTTTTCTTTTGAGGAAATGTTCTGAACTGTTAAGTTGAAAACTTACTGTGGCATCTTACCATCTGTTTCTTTCTTTTTCAGGGTTGGTTAAAAACGTATGGCTACTTACTTCCATCTGACAGCCAAATGTCTGCCTTGCAGTCGGGAAAAGCTGTGCAGTCTGCAGTTGCCACTATGCAACAGTTTTATGGAATCCCAGTGACAGGAGTTTTGGACGAGACAACTATTGAGTAAGATTAACAGTGGCTACTTTTGTCTTTCCCTTTCTTAATGCAGTCATATTACCTGCATGATTATTCCAGGAGCAAGAAGCCCTCCAAAGGGACAGATTTGACTCACTGAGCCAGAGAAGTCTTGATTGTGAAAAGGTGTCTCTAACAAAAAAATGTGGGCAATTCCACTTTTTGCCAACAGTACTGTTTGTGAGTGTGAGGAGAAGCTCTAATTAATGTTGTTCTTTGAACACAGATCCACT